CTCCCATAGTTCTACTATTAATATTTATTTAATATTGATTTGAAAAATTATAATTTATTGAAACAGATTTTATAACTGTACTGAAAGATGATGGGGAAGATACAAATCAAGACTAACCAGGATTTTGATAATATGCAATAATCATTATGAAGTTTAAAGAATAGTAATGCTGAATGAAAGAGGTTAAAACAGGCTAGCAAATTTCAAAAACAGACGTAATAAAAAATTCACAGCTTTCTGAATTATTTTACATAAAAGTTTCTGCAATTTGATGTTTTATTCCTTTCTGGTATAAGTTCAGCAAAACCAGATAACTTGTAAAATCTAATCAGCTAAATTGCCAAATAAAAGTTCTCCTCTTGATACATTCTAAAATTTCTTTATTGATATATTTGTCTATATTTATAAACTAGATAGACCTATGTTATTTTTCTGGGAAGAATCATAAAGATAATTTTTGTTAGAGATATCTGTCAAAACATCCAGACAAAAAAAAGAAAACATAAAAGTGGGTGCAGGCAAGCTCTTACAATCACTTTTTCAAAAGACTGAAGGTTGTAAATTAGGATCATATGCTTCATCATGCCATGAGCTAAATATGGATAACTCTGAGAAGATTTTTCATAATAAGAATAAATATTTAATGCAATCATGCAAATCATTTTTAAAAATGGTTATTATTCTTGGTTGCCTTTATCTAATGTTAGCCAGAGAAAAAACAAATCATCACTTTGGTATTTAAGAGCTGAGTCATTGAAAGTAATGTTTTTTAAGCTGTTAAGAATCAACCATCCCTATGCTGATGTCCTGGACAGTTCTGCCTACATTTTCTTCTAGTGTTTTTATGGTATTCATGACTAAAACACCAAAAGCAATGGCAACAAAAGCCAAGATAGACAAATGGGAACTAATTAAAATTCAGAGCTTCTGTACAGCAGAAGAAACAACCATTAGAGTGAGCCGGCAACCAACAGAATGGGAAAAAATTTTTGCAATCTACCCATCTGACAAAGCGCTAATATCCAGAATCTACAAAGAACTAAAACAGATATACAACAGCGAACTGGCAACCAACAGAACGGGAAAAAATTTTTGCAATCTACCCATCTGACAAAGCGCTAATATCCAGAATCTACAAAAAACTAAAACAGATATACAACAAGAAAAAACAACCCCATTCAAAAGTGGGAGAAGGATATGGACAGACACTTTTCAAAAGAAGACATATATGAGGCCAACACACATATGAAAAAATGCTTGTCATCGCTGGTCATTAGAGAAACGCAAATCAAAACCACACTGAGGTATCATCTCATCCCAGTTAGAATGGCAATCATTAAAAAACCTTGAGATAGGTGTTGGAGAGGATGTGGAGAAATAGGAACACTCTTACACAGTTGGTGGGAGTGTAAATTAGTTCAACCACTGTGGAAGACAGTGCGGCGATTTCTCAAGGATCTAGAAATAGAAATTCCATTTGACCCAACAATCCCGTTACTGGGTATATACCCAAAGAACTATGAATTGTTCTACTATAAAGACACATGCACACATATGTTCATTGCAGCCCTGTGTACAATAGCAAAGACCTGGAACCAACCCAAATGCCCATCGATGACAGACTGGACAAGGAAAATGTGGCATATATACACCATGGAATACTACACAGCCATAAAAAACGATGAGTTGGTGTCCTTTGCAGGACTTGGATGAATCTGGAAACCATCATTCTCAGCAAACTGACACAAGAACAGAAAACCAAACACCTCATGCTCTCAATCATAGGTGGGTGTTGAACAGTGAGAACATCTGGACTCAGGGAGAGGTGCATCACACACTGGGGGTAGTTGGCGGGGGCTACGGGAGGGAAAGCAGGGGGGTGGGGAGGGTGGGGAGGGATAACATGGGGACAAATGCCAGATATAGACAAAGGGAGAATAGAGGCAGCAAACCACCTGGTTGTGTATGCACCTATGCCACAACCCTGTATGATCTACACATGTCCCCCCAAACCTAAAGTAAACAAAATATTAAAAAAAAAAAAAAAAGAATCAACCATCCCACAGACAGCACCTTACAACAGCCAGATTCAAACTCAGTTGACACTACACCATTCAAGCCAACATACTGTCCCATCCAAGACAATTCCCACCTTTCATGTCTTTTCTATTAAAGCATATTTATTTACTAACATATTATTTAGTATGATGTCTTAAACACAAATGGACAGTTATACAAAAACTAGTTTAAAAATTGTAACTTTGTCAATTTAGTGCCTTATTACCTTAACATAAAAACATTATTTTTACCATGATACAAAAAATTTAAAAAACTACTTTTAGAGAAGTTTTATTCATTTAACTTATAAAACCTGACACTTTGTGAAAATAAAAATGAACTAGAAATGTTGCAAGTTCATTTTAGTTGCTATATTCATCAACCAATACTCCCTGCTAAACAAATAGTGATGAAAATTTATGGGAACTCCCAAAGGAATTAAATTTGCAGGATTCAATTCCGTTGGCTTAGCAGCAGCAAAGTGTTCAATATTATCAAGAGAGCGATCTAAATTCAATTCTCTGCCACCAAATAGCAAAACAAAGATAAAAACAATTTAAACAGGCTATGGGAAATTTTACAGAATTCCTATATATTTAGGCTTCAAGGAGGGCTTTTAATGAAGTAAAAAATACAATCATAATTTTACCAATGAGAGTATGCACTTGACAACATAATTTTCTTTTATCAACCATTACATATGCCCATTACAAAGTCATTTCTTATGACAGCCATTTTCTTTATAAGTAAATACAAAATCTAGATATGATTTAGGCTGAGGATGAAGTTTTAAAATAAAATATTGCTGGTATGGAAAATATGATAATACTTTTTGCTGAATTTCACAAAGGGAATATTTATACTTTAGCTATTCTTAGGACTTCATGTCATATACTCCAGTATTTTTTTTTTTTTTTTTTTTGAGACGGAGTTTCGCTCTTGTTACCCAGGCTGGAGTGCAATGGCGCGATCTTGGCTCACCGCAACCTCCGCCTCCTGGGTTCAGGCAATTCTCCTGCCTCAGCCTCC